AGAGAATTGGGCAGTTCTGAAATTGGCCTCCTTCCTAGCACTGTGCCTAGTCCACACCCCGGTGTCTCCGATGCCAGGCAGTGAGACACTAGAGAAGGGGACTGACTCACTGAGTCATCCAGGCCTGTCACTGTGGCTCCCAGAGGGAGTTAGTGGGGGTGAAGAAGTGGGACCATTGGAGCCGCTCCTCATTGAGAGGAAGCTGGGGCCCAAAGGATGAGAGCCCAGTCAACTTGGGCTCCTAGTTGACTTGGAGCCTCTTCAGTGCTCCTGCCTTAGGCCCAGGGTGACAAAGAGGATGTCCAGGCTCTTGATGCAAGTGGGACCTTGTTAGGACTCTCACAGTGCATGCATGCAGCGGCCTTCCTGGAGGGGACACAGAGTGTGTAAGGTCCACACGCGTCAGGCATCCTGCATGGAGAAGGCTTCCAGCACCTGTACTTGATCTCAGGGGCCAGAAAAGAAGCATAGAGCCCTTTGGTGACAGAACTGTCTCTGGGGAATGACTGAGAAGACTTGCTGGGCTCTCTTGCGATAGCGGGAGTCAGGATGGAACAGGTGGCTGCAGGAGGCCGTGCAACTCTCATTTGTGGAGCCGACAAGCTGGGCACCCCTGGCTAGGACAAGGTGCTCTTTTACAAGGTTCCTTTACAATCACGAGTTGCTCCTTTTGGTTTGAGAGGGCTGCTGAGGGTGCTGGTAGATGCAAACCCAGGTGGCAAGAAGGGTCTGCTGGCCCCACCTGTGAGCCAGGTGCTCCTGCCCTGGCTGCTCTCTGTAGAGATGACGCAAGAATGTGAGGCACTTCCCACGGCCAGCGCCCTGGCTGGCTCCCGTCTCCTCTCAGTGTCAGATCCAGTCGCCATGAAAGTATCTTCCGTGTGTGAGGCTCAGAGCTGGAGCTGTTGGCCCTTTCCCCTGCCAAGTGCCAGGTGCACGCCCCTTTGCAGTGCTGAGCTTCCCTGTGCTCTGTGAAGTCCACCCCACAGATGGGAGGTTTCAGTAGGGTGGTCTGGCCTTGTCAATAGCAAGAGAGTCTTGTTCCTAGGTTGCACTGAACTTTTAAAACAGAGCTTGTCTGTGGGCCTGGAGGGTAGCTTCGAGAGGTTGAACTTTTCTTTTGGGCTGAGCTGCTGCTCTGGGGGAAGGTTCTGTGACCCTTCCTGGACCCCCTTGAGTTTTTTTATAGAACTCTACCTTCTCCCCATTTGGTAGGTGGTGAGACTCAGGAAGGCAGAGGGTGTAGGTGTCCTAAACATGGGACCAGGAGGCCTGGCTCTCATTCTGAGAAGGGCTCAGGGACTCTCAGACCTTGGACTTATCTCCCAGATGCCACCAGTTGAGCCCATCACCAGTGCTGTCACCTGCAACTTGAGACCCTGTGTGCTAATTTGTAGTGGCCAGAGGCAGGGAAGGGAATTGCTCTGTGACTCATGAAGTTGCATAGACAGGCGAAAAACCACAAATAAGGGACTCCAGTTGGCAAAATCCAAACTGCTTCAAGGCTGTTCTTGGAAGCTACAGCATCACATCTTGTTTTTTTCCCAGAAAATGCATAACCTTTCATATTTCTGGCTAGTTGGTTCTATTTCTAGACCAAATTCCAAAAAAACCAGCAGCTGGGTGGTAGTGGGCAAGGCCGCCCTTCATGAGAACTAGCCATTTGCGCTCCTCTGAGTTAACACTCTGGATTTCTTTCTCTGGGGTGCCCACCAAGGGTAGCACACCCGAGTTCTCTGGAAGCAAAGGCTGGAAGCTCAGACTCACTGAATCCTCGGAGCACTGGGTCAGCTCATGACCAGCATCACCCTCTACATGTGTGCCTTCAGTTCATTGCTAAATTCATGCTTTGTGACATTCCCCACTTAACATGTGAGGGGCTTAAAACCCAGAAGTTCAGTGAGCTGAAGGCTCCATAGCTAGGAAGTAAGTTTGAAACCTTGGTTTTCTAAATTGAAAGCTTTGTTCTCTAGTTTTAAAATATATGTAATTCATTGACCTGTGAATGTCATCTAAGTAGTCACGAATTGTACTTCTTTTCCTCCTTCCTTTTGGCTTGATGATGGTAGGGCCATTTGAAGAAGAACAACACCACGCAGCTGCCGGGTGTTAAGTACATCATATATCTGATCTCATTTATCACATATCACCCTAGGAACTGAGTAGTATCGGCCCCATTTTACAGATGAGAAAATGGAGGCTGAGGCAGATGAGATAACTTGCCTAGAGCCAGTGTGCTTGTAACCAGGTGCACACCCAGGTCTATCTAAATAGTCTGATGTTTTCCCACGAGGACAGCTACCCAGGGTGGGTGTCAGCATCATCTCTGACTTAAATTAGCACGGTGATTGTTGAGAGCCAGTTGTTTAGATCTGGGGAGGCAGGTCTGAGCCTGGCACAGGCTGCCGGGGTGCATGTCCAAGGCTGCGCCTATCTCTGCCTGTCACCCATCTCCCTCCACCTCCCCTTCCACCTCCCCTTATCTCACCAGAGATAAGAGCTAGTTCCTGGGCTCCCACGCCTGCCCACCTCAGCTCTTTGGCTTTCTCTGCACAGGAACTCTAAGATTAAGTTGTTCCTTTTCCTTAAGGAAGCAAGTTCTTCCAGTTTGTAAATTATTGTCTGGGACTCAGATCGGCTTGATACCTTGAAAACTGATTGATGTGTGATATTAGACAAGGAGGAGTTAGCAACTTGGAGAGGTGATTTACAAAACTTATTTTTTCCAACTTGCTGCACCCCCCCATCTCCCCCAGAAACATCTGCCAGCAGGGACGGGCATAGCAGGGGTAGCAGCAGATGCTTCTTGGGGCCAGGCTCCACCCGCAGCTGTGTTTCTTTCTTCCCCTTGTCCTTATCACCTGTCTCTCATAAAAGAAGAACAGGAGGCGTGGCATGCAGGTGGCTTGTATCCAGCAGCTTGGGCAGTGAGGGTCTAAGCTGAGCTTTGGTCTGAGCTCTGTAGTTCCAATCTGCCCACCCTCAGAAAAGTCTGTGCATGGAGTAGCAGGCATCCGCCAGCCTCTGCTTCTGCTGTTCATGCTGGCCCTGAGCTAGCTCCTAAGATAGATAAGCTTCGGGAATGTTAATAGACTCGGAGAAGCAGATGAGTCCTGCCTTCTGTGTATGCTCTCTGGGCGGCCTATGTGGCATGTGGGGAAAGTGGAGACACTGAACGAGGCAGTGTTTACGTGAGGGATGCCAAAGCGAGCAATCGCGGACATTAAAGGAGCCGAGAGAGCATCTGCGAAGAAGTCTGTGTCTCATCTGGGCCAAGCAGGGCCCACCCTCCTAGCCTGTGGAACTCCTTGAGTGGCGTGGATCAGGCAGCCAGGCAGGGCCTGCTGGAGTATCTGGGCCTGACTTAGGTGCGCCAACTGATGAGTCGGGGAGCAAGGGGTGTGTGCGGCTCAGCCTCCAGCCCAGCACTGTGCTGGAAGCACTTGGGGGAAGCAGAAGGAAGGGCAGGGTCCTATCTGAGCTGTCAGTGCCTGGTGGTCTGGAGGGGACACGCCACAATATGTCCTGGTACCTGTGCATCCCTTGCACACCTCAGGAATCCTGCACTGGAGGCACCTTGAACGTACTGCCACCCTGCCCCAGACCTGCCCTTTGCAGACTCCTGCCTCTCTGGTGCCTACTTGGCCTGGCATGTCCACTCCCCAGTCTTCTTACAACCAGAGCTTTTTTTGTATTTCCACCCTCGATGGCTCTGTGGACTCCGCCAAGCTCTACTGAGACCTGCTGCTCTGGGCTCCCTGCTCTTTGTTCTCAGTGTATGAGCACTTGTCGGCCGGCTTGCCATCAACTCTGTCATCTAGCCACAACTGCCCTGTGTTGTCCACTTCTGTATCCCCAGGACCTAGCACAAGGCCTGCCACTTGCTAAGGCACCAGTAATTGTTAGTGAATGAATAAGAGATTAGGGACTAAAGTAAATACTATTCTCCATTGTGAGTACTGTAAAACCAGCCCACCTTCCCGATGTGCCCTAGATAACTGTCCTCATTTGGGGAGCACGCTGCACTGCTACCCCGAGGGCCTTGCTGACCTTCTCCTGCCCAGCCCTGTGGCGGAGCCGTCTGCTGACCATCTTGTTGACCCCTCCGTTCCCCTGACAGTTGGGTCAGCTCTTGCCCTTCCACGTTGGCCTTGGAGCTAGCTTTGGATTCTGGAAAAATAGCTAGTGCTTTGGAAAATCAGCTCTACTTTATTTTTGTTCCTTTGAAACCTAAATGACTTTCTGAAGAAATATCTGAGGTTAGAGTGGTGCAGAGGGAGGATCGGGGCCAAAACCCAAGTGAGCTATTTTCGCGATGTGAATGAACAGCCATCGCCTCATCCAGAGCACTTGTCCCAGACAGCGGCCAGCCCACGCACAAGCACAGCCGCCTCTCGTCTGTGCCCACATGTCTTTTTGCCCCTGCCTCTGACTGAGCCCAGACTCACAGAGAACTTTTGGGGAGTTGCCTTTGTCACCTGTGTAGGAGAAACACCTGCTCTCTGGTGACAGTGATGGTGAGACTTCAAAATGTCAGGTCTAAGGACAGTGGGATGGTTGCAAACCCTGGAGCTGAATGTGCTTTGGGCCTTTGTGCACAGAGGTAACGTGGCGAGGGTGCGTGTGTAATAGTCAAGCAGCTCGTGGTTTTCAATGGAGCTGAGCCTTGGGTACTTCCCTGGCTTTTTCCTTCCACTTGTCACTATGTGCAGAGCCATCTGGCTTGTAGCAAGACTGACCTGCACATGGAGACTAGCCAGTGCATACGGAGCTCCGTTCAGTCTGTGGTTCTTTTCAACCAGAGCGAGGAGTGGGTGCTGGGGAGAAAGAGATTGTCAGCGAGGTCAGATGGGATTGGAAGTTTTCCAAAGATGACCTATGTTTAGTGTTAAGCATTATGGTTAGCACCTTAGCATCTCAAAGGAACAGCTTCTGACACAGCTCACCCCCATCCCACCCTCACGCCTACCAAGCTCACCTCTCTCCACCTCTGTCCGCAGGTGGGACGCGTCCCAGGCTGATCCTCTCTGTCCTCTCCACGCCTCCGCTCCACGAGCCTGCTCAACCATGGGAGAGAACGAGGATGAGAAGCAGGCCCAGGCGGGGCAGGTTTTTGAGAACTTTGTCCAGGCTGCCACATGCAAAGGCACCCTTCAGGCCTTCAACACACTCACCCGCCTCCTGGACCTAGACCCTCTGGACCACAGGAACTTTTACTCCAAGCTCAAGTCCAAGGTGACCACCTGGAAAGCCAAAGCCCTGTGGTACAAACTGGACAAGCGTGGTTCCCACAAAGAGTACAAACGAGGGAAAGCGTGCATGAACACCAAGGTAAGGAACCCCAGCACAGACATCCCTACCCCACCCTAGGACAGGTGGATCTACATTTGGGACTTGGGGTCTGTTACTGTTCGGCTCATTTGAGGCTCTTACTGGACGTGGGTATGAATGTTGCATTGCTCTGCTCGCCTGAAGGTGTCCTTTGTCTCTACGTGCTCTGCTCATCCTGGCTGGAAGTTTTCATTTTGTCGTGGTGACCACAGTCCCTCTCTTGTGATCCCTCCCTGGGAGGGAAACCAAGGCCAAAGGAATGGAGCAAGGACTTCATCATTCTACCTCTGCTCATCTCCAGTGTCCACTGTTCACTGAAGCAGCTTTTATGTGCTGGGCATGGTGTGTCTGAGATCTCACTGACCACCTGCAAGTGGTCCCGTGGCCCACTTTAGGGATGTGGACACTGAGAAATCAGTTATTTCTCCCAAGGTCACATGACTAGAAGGCACTCTTGGTCTATCTGGTACTGAGCCTTAGGTCCTGTGTTCCAAGAGAGGTGTCAGTGGGGAATTGTGTTCCTCGGCAAGCGAATATTTTAGAACGATCCCTTGGCCTTTAATCAGTTGACTAAGAAGCAGGGTCTTGGTCCTCGCCTCCCTTTCCCTTCTCTTCCTTTGGACACCCGAGTTCCCTGCATCCCCACCTCCTCCTGCAGATGCTGCCCACGACCACACTGTAGCTAACCGGCCCCCATTGCTTGGTCCAAGGCAGCACCGTGCCCACAGGGCAGCAGTGACAAGGAGCATCCCACCCCTGACATCTCAGCAGAGCCGCCACAGTGGGCACGGGAAGTCACTACTTGCTGGTTGGCTCCAGAGGGCTGTCAGCCCTGGGCATCAACAGGTCCAGGCTGTGTGTTTAGGCTGAGACTGAACATACTGTATTCAGTCCTCTCGGGAGGTCACTCAGCCAGAGCCTGTGGAATTCCAGTCAGTGCCAATCCCAGGACAAGAGGCTTGAGCTCTCCATGGCGATGGGGCCTGTTGTGTTTTTGTTTTGGTCAGGAGGAGCTGCTGAGTCTACCGTGGGATTCGGCTGCTTTGCACTGCCCTAGGGAGACAGCTGCCAGGCTCCCCAGAGCCCGGGGCACCCGAACTGTCCAGGGCATGGGAAGAGCATTCCAAGGGCTGGAGGAGACGACCCCTCCGTCCCGAGCACAGAGCTGTCCAGGTGGGGTCTGCCTGTAGCTGGCCACCTCCAGCCTTGGGCAGGGGCATAGGAGTGGTAAGGAAAAGGGGGAAGAGTGTGGCCAGTGCCTCCTTCCCTGGTTGTACCTTCATGGATCCTAGTTCACTGGGCAGCTCTTAGGAGTCAGAGAAGAAGAGGGCACGTTTAGCTGTGAGTTACCCTTCTCAGTAATTATACGTGTTGGCTTTCTTTTAAAAAAGAAAACCCAATGCATACATGCAGCTCCATAAAAGGACTCAAGTGACTCTGTCCCAGGGAGTTTTCAGAGGTTTTTGCTTTATTAGTAAATGTCATCAGCCTACTTTGTGGGTGTAGGTCTGTTTTGATGACCTAAAAGTGAACATTCCAAAAAATTAAGCCATCTGAGGGTCTGGCCACCGTGAAAATAGCCTTCTTTCAAAGGTTACCAATGGGACTGTGCATGTTGGGGCATGCCTCTAGTTCAAGTACACTAAGAGGCTGAGTCAGGAGGGTCACAAACTTGAAATGGCCAGACCTTGAATCAAAATAAAAACTAAAAAGGGGTAGGGATACAGTTCGGGTAGAGACCTCTTGTTTCCATTCCCCAGTGCGCCCCCCGCCCCCAATCTTTCTCTCTCTCTCATACACACACTCACATGCACACTTCATTCATTAGCTGGGTGGTTCTCTGGCCTGTCTGGCCAGCCCCCATCGTACAAGCTTTGATGGCTTAAAACAGCAGAGTCCTCACATCTCATGGTTGGCAGATCACTGTTGGCACCTGAGGTATGAAGGAAAAGAAAGGTCCTTAGGTAGCAATGCTGAGGAGTGCTGCTGCCTACCGATGTGTATGCCTTCCTTACTTGGGGGAACAAACATCTCAAATATGTGATAGCCCATCTCCTTCCTCTGAGGACGGGAAGATACATTGGAAAATGCATGCTAAGTAGAGATTGTGGCTGTGCAAGGTCCCTGAGTGGCACAGTTCAGAAAGCCAGTTCAAAGTAACCAATAGAACCAGGACATCACTCACCCACAGCAGCCGGGTGGTCCAGATGCGCAGTCTCCCTGTCCTGGCTCCTTCCAGCCGCGTGTGGGATGATCCACCTGTGCTGGCACTGTCCTTCCCGCTGCAGATGACTTCCCTCCATGCCGGGAGCCTCTGGTTCATCTCTTTTTGGCGCCACAGCCCACAGGGCAAATGCCTTTCTGTTTCAGTGCGATACTGAAGCAGTCTCAGGGAGGGCTTTTGATGGGCCCACCCCTGGATAATGGTGGCCAGAGCCAAAACCACTGCCTACTGTGCTTGGCAGCTCTTTCAAAGGACACGATTGACCTGAACAGAAACCCGGTCTCCAAGGACATGGGTGTGCAGGACAGACAGAGGTGTCCCCTGCAGTGACATTTTGCTTTTGTTGTGGTTATAGCCTAGGCGCACCCCATGTTGGATTCATGTGTGGGTGGTTAATGTCCAGCTCGATAAGGCCAGTGCTCAGGCTTCTTATTGTGAGGGAGGCAAAACCCACAGCAGAGAGGACCTGCCCCTCCTGCCACATGAACAGGCACTGTGTGGCTTACACACTGTGTTGACATTTCCTTTGGTGTAATGGTTTACACTTAGTATCAGCCAAACGAGAAATACTGGCCTTGGCATACATGTGGTGGCTCACGCTAAGCCAGGTCGTGCAGGTGTGTCAGGTGCCAAGCACAATGCCAGCTTCCAATTGGCAGAGGGCAGGGTGGGGATAACTGCAGTTCAGTCAGACCTGTATCTTTGCACAGATGTGGCCACATCTGGGTGGGTTTGTGTGTGGGCATCTCATAAGCATTGAGCAGCCCCTGCTGTGTGCTGAGCACCGTGCTGCTATATTTGCACCACTGGGAGAGTGTGTGTGTGTGTACACATGTGTGCACATGTGTGCATGTGCTACTGGTGACAGGATACGGAGACCAGGGTCAATTCATAAAGAAGGGCTTAGGTGGGGGCACCATGAGACAAGGAATGAGCCAGGCGGTCACTACAGTGCCTGTAGTGCCAGTTGTACAAGCTAACTGGAGATCATTGTTTATTACTGACTATTCTTTATGAGAGGTTCATCAGACACTTGATAACTCTTTCCCTGGGTGTGACTCTGGATCCTAGTGGACTAAGGACCAAGCCAAATTCCTCTCTCAGGACTGATGGAGGCTCTGTATAGTTCCCGGTTATCACAGCCAGCTGGGCAGTGTTACCAGAGAAAGCAGCCATAAGCCTGCAGTGTATAAATCAGTAAGGGATTTGCCATGTCACAGAGCCATGGGCCCTGGTCATTTCCTATATAAATCCTCAATGCTAAGAGGAACTAAGGAGAATGGTAAATATCATCTCTCCTTTCAACAAGTGTCAAAGTCGGAAGTCTTTAGCTCGAGCAGGGAGTTGCTCTACTGGGATCTGAGTTCTTTCTTGGTTTGCTTTTGTATTCCTTCATGTATTCACCCACCTGCAGGTGTTTTTTAGTGCTGTCTACTTTAACCGGGAAAAATGGTTAGAAAGGTGAAAAGAAGTGATTTTCCCCTGAGCTTTGGGTAATGGAGACTGTCTTTTAGCTTCTTAAGAGTCCTGTGGCCTTGGGCAACTTACTTCATATCTCTGTAGCATTCTCTGTAAAATGAGGGTGATAATTGTACCTACTTCATAGATTTATCATGAAGCTTAGAGAAGGCAATACTTGTAAAGTGTCTAGACTGTTGCCTAGTAGGTAGTAAGGGATTAGTAAACATTCAGCCATTATTATCACTAATACCCTAAGTGCTGTGAGAGAATTGAGTGCACTGGCTCACAGAAGTAGTAAAAAACCGGTAACTGTAACTGGGGTCTGTCTGTCATGCTCATGGGGTCTGGGAATGCTTCCTGGAAGAGGAGGAATGATGTGGGGCTTGACAGGTCTTAGTTATTTCTTATTGCTGGGACACAATACCCAACACCCACAAGTTAAAGGAAGGAAGATTTATTTTGTTTCATAGTTTGTGGAGGTTTCAGTCCATACTCGCTGGCCCTAAGGCAGAGTGATATGGCAGAGGGGCATCACAGAGGAGAAGCTGCTTATTGCATAGTAGCAGGAAGCAGAGAGATCAAAGGAGGAAGATGGGGAAAAGCCACACCCCCAGTGACCCACCTCCTCCAACCAGGCTTTACCCCCAGCATCACATTTGTCTGTAAACTTGTCAGTGAACTAACCCACTGATGAATACTATGCCTCCATGATCCAATTGCCCCCCCCCACCAAGGCCCCTCCTATGAGCACATGAAGGTTTGGGGGAACATCTAGGCATAAACCATAACAATAAGTGTGTGGAAGTTTGCCGTATAGAGCTGAGGAAACACAGGCAGAGAGATATTCCAGGAAGGAGCATTGCTTGTGCAATGGGGAAGGGCCTCAGGACACAGAAGAGCATGAGAGACAGCAGAAGGGATAGGTGCTGGGAGATCAGGGACAAAGCTTTCTTGGAGCCCAGCTGTGAGGAGAGATGCGTACAGAAATCCTGGAGAGCCTGTGACAAAGAGTCCCCACCGTGGGCCCTCCCACCAGTGCAGCCTGGGCCTCACCACACTTGCAGAATGTGACTCATCGACCTTGTCACCAGCAGGAATGGAGCCGGTGACATGAAGAAACTCATTTGTATTCTTTTTAGAAAGATTTGCCTGCATTTTATGAGCATGCAGAGGAGTTCCCTACACCTTTGGTTACCTGGTTACCTTTGCCCCTGAACTTGCTCCTGCCCCCTTGGCTCTGCAGGACTCCCCCCCCCCCCAGTTTGGAGCCTAGGCCCCTGGAAATGCTCACAGCCCATTGTGTCCTGTGGCCTTT